ATCCTATCAACACAGCAACCAAATCAATTCACCCATGTTTTTCAAACTAACACTTAATGCTGCAATCCCTGCATTCTAACTCCTCCGCTAGAGCTACAGGAATAAAGTGGGCATAGAGAAGCATGGAAATAATCAGAACCAGAGGTACAGTGCTACCCTCATCTCAAACACCACAACCACCAAGTCAACCAGCTCTCTGAGTCCACAATAGAAGCAGCAGGCAGGTGATTCAGAAAGCAGAGATGAAGAGCTCTATTACAAGATCTAGTCAGTCCAACTTTCCAGGGCCAGGATAAAATTGTTCCCTAGCGTACACTCCTCTAATAGTAACCCACAATAGCAGAGTGGTTGCTCCACTAGTGGCTGATCTATAAGGCTATGAATTTACTACACTGCTAGAGGCTCCTACTTTTAGGCTAGCTGGCTTTATATTCAAACTTTGCCAATGGCCCAAGCCATTATAAGTCATACACCATGACAGCTAAAATAGCCTCCTATCCCTAGAAAGGAACAGACTCACCACAATAACATCAGTTACATAATATCAAGTATCAGGGGGTAGCCATGTTAGTCTGTATTTACAAAAACAAGGAGTCTGGTGTCACCTTAAAGACGAACAGATTTATTTGGGCCATGCATCTGAAGAAGTGAGGTTTTTACCCATGAAAGTTTATGCCCAAATAAATCTGTTAGTCTTTAAGGTGCCACCAGACTCCTTGCTGTCTTTATCAGTTACATAAGCATTCCATTTATTTTGAAGTATAAGTGTGGGGCTCTCACCTGAGCTAGCTATAGCTCAAAGTCAGGATGTTTTTCCATATATTCTGCTGAGTATTTTCATTGGAGCAGTGGAGAGAAACTGAGTTATAGCCCCATTACCTACCTAATAGGGCCCCTTCCATATTGGAGGTTACACCCTTCAGATATTTACAAACTATCACTCAACCTCTGCCAGACACTGTTGCTTAGCCCCTTCAGTCTTTCCCTGGAACTCAATCCCACTCGGCTTTGTTACTCTTCCAAAGTCCTTCAATGAGAATACACAGGACATGTGATGCATTCGCTCTCCTCCGCCCACACCCTGACAACCGCCGCTCACTTGATCTTGCGGAACTCATCGCAATCACACAGGATCAGATTCATGTGCTTATCGAAGGCCTTGAAAGTGCCGATGAAGACACGTCCATCCTGTAGGATGCACCTCATGCGATAGTCGATGTGTTGCAGCATCTTGCTGCTCTTCCCCACAGTCTGCAAGAGGAGGCGCCGCGTTACAACCGGGGCCCGGTCTCCCCCTCCACCCCACCACCGCGTTACACCCGAGGCCCGGCCTCCCCTCCCCCCGCCGCCGCGTTACACCCGAGGCCCGGCCTCTCTTTTCCCCTCCTCCCACCGCCGCGTTACACCCGAGGCCCGGCCTCTCCTTTCCCCTCCTCCCGCCGCCGCGTTACACCCGGGGCTTCACCATAGTTGCGGCTTCTCCGATACCAGCACTCCACCAATCTCTCCCGCCGCAGCCTTGCTGACCGCCTGCTCACAGCGGAAACGTCGTCTGACCCGGAAGTGTCCGTATGATAATTGTGCCCCCTACACTTCCGGTCCTTTCCTGCTTTTTGGACACAGACCGGAAGCGCCCTCCTGCCGAGTTGCCGGTACGGCCCCGCGCACAAAGTGTTCCCTCTTCCCTCAGGCCGGGGGGACCGGAAGCGTTTCCGGTGGGGTTTCACAAAAGAGAACGGGGGCAGCGCCCCTGCTGCCTGTGCACCGAGCGATTGTCCGTTCTGCGCCGTAGCCTGTTTCCTCCCTGGCCCCACCTGTGCCTGCCTGAGCTACAGTAGATCGCCAGCCGCGCGGAGCGGGGCCTGCCTGGCGGGGTCCGGGGCCGCGAGGGCAGGGGCCGGGGTGAAAGGGTCCGTCGCCATCGTTTCTTACTGGACGCTGGCGGTACCTGAGCTACCCTGGCGCTTCCCTCACCGGGACCTGCCCAAGGCCTGCAAGCAGGTGACAGGGGGTTTTAGGAGCGGCTGTATTTGCCTGAATGCCCGCCCCATAGACACAATCCAGTCGCCAGGCTTTCCCTCCTGCTCCCCACATCTAGTGTTCTGCTGCTTCCTCGCGAGTTTCACCCCTGCTCTCTGGATGGATGGCCAGCTCGCTCCTGAGTGCTGATCTAAACAGACAGATGCCCTACTAAGCTATTTTGTTGTAGGCATCATAGCAGAAGCTAAAGGAACCAGGGAACACAGACCTATGTGTTGACACTAACGGTGCTGTGCCACAAACCTCTGAACCCTTACCAAAGAGAAGGTTTAAGACAATAACCATCAAGAAAGCCAGAGCTAAGAAACAATTTCTTGAGCAAGAGCCTAACATAACAAGCAGTTGTTTGAAGGAAGTTGGCACTGGCCTTTCTGTAAGAAAATGTTAAAGTTCCTCTTCCATTTTTAATTATATTTAAAATGTGCATGATATTTTTTGTAAATAAATCACAGAGAATTTTTGACACATCTACATTGTGGAAGTGATCAAGAGATGCTGTAAAATCACTCCCTCCTAAATTATTCTGGAATATTAATTGGTTTTCTGATCTGAATGCCTGTACCAAACTGTACAAAGCAGCACTTCTTGCTGCTAGGACTAGCTAGTCTACATTGGTAGTGGTTCATAGAGATCACCTGCTCCTCTGAATCCCAGGAACAGCAAGTTTCAGAGTAGCAGCTGTGTTAGTCTGTATCCGCAAAAAGAACAGGAGGACTTGTGGCACCTTAGAGACTAACAAATTTATTAGAGCATAAGCTTTCGTGGGCTACAGCCCACTTCTTCGGATGCACAGCAAGTTGAGTCTAGGAGACAATAGGCCCTCAAATGATAGTAATATGAAGATAACACCCAGCTCTAGAGCTCCTTTATATTAAATGCAAACATTATTGTTTCCCAACTATCCAGGTGCCTGGAGAAGCTCAGTCTCAGTGTAGAATAGCTGGCTGAAGCAAAACCAAGAGACGATGTAGGTGACTGGTGAAAAGTCCAAAGCAGACAGTGAAGAGTTACAAAGAGATCTCATAAAGCTGGGTGATTGACCAACAAAATGAGAAATGAAATTGAATGTTGAAAAATGCAAAGTAATGCACATTGGAAAACATAATCCCAACTATACATATAAAATGATGGGGGTATAAATTAGCTGTTACCTCAAGAAAGAGATCCTGGAGTCATTGTAGATAGTTCTCTGAAAACATCCACTCAATGTGCAGCAGCAGTCAAAAAAGTGAACAGAATGTTGGAAATCTTTAAGAAAGGGATAAATAATAAGACAGAAAATATCATATTGCTTCTATATAAATCCATGGTATGCTCACATCTTGAATACTGCGTGCAGTTCTGGATGCCCCATCTCAAAAGAATTGGAAAAGGTACAGATATGGGCAACAAAAATGATTAGGGACATGGAACATCTTCCATATGAGGAGAGATTAATAAGACTGGGACTTTTCAGCTTGGAAAAGAGATAACTAAGAGGGAATATGATAGAGGTCTATAAAATCATGGCTGGTGTGGAGAAAGTAAACAAGGAAGTGTTATTTACTCCTCAAACACAAAAACTTAGGGATCACCAAATTAAATTAATAGGCATCAAGTTTAAAACAAAGAAAAGGAAGTATATCTTCACACAATGCACAGTCAGTCTGTGGAACTCTTTGCCAGAGGATGTTGTGAAGGACAAGACTATAACAGGGTTAAAAAAAGAACTAGATAAATTCATGGAGGATAGGTCCATCAATGGCTATTAGCCAGGATGGGCAGGGAGGGTGTCCCTAGCCTCTGTTTGCCAGAAGCTGGGAATGGGCAATGGGTTGGATCACTTGGTGTTCATTCCCTCTGGGGGCATCTGTCCTGGCATTGGCCACTGGCCAGACAGGATACTGGGCTAGATGGACCTTTGGTCTGACCCAGAATGGCCATTCTTATGTTGCTATGATATTGGTGGCTAAAGGGAAGTACGTAACATCACACTTCGCTGAAGGTACCAGCCCCAGATCACTATGTTAGATCAGAACCTCAGAGGGTTTCTGGACACCTGGCTGTTTCTGACTACCCCACTAACTACGGAGACAAAAATCACCCAGTACCACCAACTGCTGCATGAGTCTCTGTCCCTCCCATCAGATGCCAAATTGTTATTCCTGCTTTGCAGTCTTAATGGCTGCAATGCACCACCCTGCTTCTCTTTCTCATCCAGCCTCATCCCTCATTCGCTCCGGCCTTGTCTTCGTCTGTCCCCCCGTTTTCCATCCGACCAGCTCACTTATTCCTCCCTCCCTGACCTATCCACCCCATCCCCGCTCAACTGCGCCCCCTCCCCACCATTGCACTGTTCCCCATGCCCCTCTTTGCTCGCCACCGCCCTCATCCCAGGAGGGTCAGTCCCAGCAAGAGGCAGGGGGCGGGACTCGCTTGTCTGCATAGCGACGCGCGGCTTGGTTACAAGCCTCCCCGTTCGTCGGGGTGACAGACAGGCCGCCTGTCCAATGGGAGGTACAGGAGCTGCGTGACAAGCAGAGGCTGCAATGGGGCCGGTAGCGACCTTGGGGGCGGGTCTGCGTGACTGGAGGCGGGTCGCAGCGGGGACGAGGACGGGGAGCCGCCGACTCGGGTGAGGGGGGGAGCGGGTGTACTGGGGCGGGAGGGCCGTTGGGAACGGGGGCACCCGAGTGCCTGGGATGGGGGATGTTGTGGGGCTGTGGGTGGGGAGATAGTGGGGAGCTGTGCCTGGGCGAGCTGGGGGGGTCTTGGGACGGGGGCTGGGAGCGGGATGGGGGATGTTGTGGGGCGGGGGTGGGGGGATAGTGGGAAGCTGTGCCTGGGTTGGGGGCCGGTGCCTGGGCGAGCTGGGGCACCGTTGGGATGGGGGGCTGGGAGCGGGATGGAGGATGTTGTGGGGCTGTGGGTGGGTGGATACTGGGGAGCTATGCCTGGGTTGGGGGGCTGGTGCCTGGGTGAGCTGGGGGGCTGTTAGGACAGGGGAGCTGGGATCGGGATGGGAACATAAGAACGGCCGTACTGGGTCAGACCAATGGTCCTCTAGCCCAGTATCCTGTCTACCGACAATGGCCAATGCCAGGTGCCCCAGAGGGAGCGAACCTGACAGGTAATTATCAAGTGATCTCTCTCCTGCCATCCATGTCCATCCTCTGACAAACAGAGTCTAGAGACACCATTCCTTACCCATCTTGGCTAATAGCCATTAATGGACTTAACCTCCATGAATTTATCTAGTTCTCTTTTAAACGCTGTTATAGTCCTAGCCTTCACAACCTCCTCAGGCAAGGAGTTCCACAGGTTGACTGTGCGCCATGTGAAGAAGAACTACTTTTTATTTGTTTTAAACCTGCTGCCCATTAATTTCATTTGGTGGCCCCTAGTTCTTGTATTATGTGAATAAGTAAATAATTTTCCTTATCTACTTTCTCCAGATCACTCATGATTTTATACACCTCTATCATATCCCCCCTTTAGTCTCCTCTTTTCCAAGCTGAAAAGTCCTAGCCTCTTTAATTTCTCCTCATATGGGACCCATTCCAAACCCCTAATCATTTTAGTTGCCCTTCTCTGAACCTTTTCTAGTGCCAGTATATCTTTTTTGAGATGAGGAGACCACATCTGTATGCAGTATTCAAGATGTGGGTGTATCATCGATTTATATAAGGGCAATAATACATTCTCAGTCTTATTCCCTATCCCCTTTTTAATTATTCCTAACATCCTGTTTGCTTTTTTGATCGCCTCTGCACACTGTGTGGATGTCTTCAGAGAACTATCCACGATGACTCCAAGATCTTTTTCCTGATTTGTTGTAGCTAAATTAGCCCCCATCATATTGTATGTATAGTTGGGGTTATTTTTTCCAATGTGCATTACTTTACATTTATCCACATTAAATTTCATTTGCCATTTTGTTGCCCAATCACTTAGTTTTGTGAGATCTTGTTGAAGTTCTTCACAGTCTGCTTTGGTCCTAACTATCTTGAGCAGTTTAGTATCATCTGCAAACTTTGCCACCTCACTTTTTACCCCTTTCTCCAGATCATTTATGAATAAGTTGAATAGGATTGGTCCTAGGACAGACCCTTGGAGAACACCACTAGTTACCCCTCTCCATTCTGAGAATTTACCATTTATTCCTACCCGTTGTTCCCTGTCTTTTACCCAGTTCATGGGGGATGTTGTGGGGCTGTGGGTGGGGGGATAGTGGGGAGCTGTGCCTGGGTTTGGGGGCCGGTGCCTGGGCGAGCTGGGGGGGGGCATTGGGACAGGGGGGCTGGGAGCGGAAGGCAATGCCCAGGATGGGGAAGAGGGGGAGTGTCAGTATTGTTTATAGCAAAGTGCCTCAGTACAGGGAGCCTGCTGGGTTTAACCGGCTACCATGAGGGGAACTGGGTACTTCAAGGTAGTTGCAAGACGGAACTGAGGTCTGGGGGCCTTGCTGAGGGCGGGGTGCCAGGTGGGTTGAGGGAGTCCCAGCAGGGGTGTGGGCATTGCTTGTGGCAGTGTTCACTCAGTGCTGCCTGGGCATTGCCTGGCTGAGTTTGCCTCTATGCAGTGCCAGTGCCAGAGAATAACCCTTTGGGCCCCACCTTGCCCCGTGCTGAGTCTGTGCTTTCCTTGATGTTAGTAACCTTATGTTTCTGTAGCACTGTCCATCCCCATGGATCACAAACCAGAAATGCAGCCACATGTGGGGGAGGGCCTGGCACCAGTTTCACAGCAACACTGATCAAAACTTTAGAAGGAATTGGGGTAGGGCTAGAAAGTAGTTACCTAAGTTAGGACTGAGACAGGACACCAGAGCTTTGGTCTTTTCTCTTTAAGAATGCACCCACTGCACCTCTTGAGTGGACCAGAGGGAAGAATGTCCGCCACCACCACTTCCTACAGCGTCTGGAGATTTCTCATCAAAATACTAAACAAGCCAAATCCTATTTATCTTGTAAGATCCAATGTGATCACAGTCTGCAGTGGTGTGGCTGGAATTCTTATCTCACAGTGAGCCTGAGTTTGTCCTACCTGACCTATGCTTTTCCAGGTTTTCTTGCACGTGTGTGCACACACTCTGCACCATCCTTAGTTTCTTTTGCAAATTGCCTCACTGTATGGTTCAGTTATTTGGTGTTGTTTCTTCCTTTGGGTTAAGAGCAGCCATTCTGTCAATTCTTTGCCAATTTCTAAGCTGTGTATCCTATTGAGAAAGTGCTTGAGAGAGCTCCTGCATGCCAGCCTGGGCCTGCTTGATTTATGTGGAAAGCTCCAACAGAGCTATTGAAAACCACATAATACAGAGCCTGCACTGCTAGAAGTTTATTTTGCATCATTGATAACAATTGCTGTTAGTAAGATCTCTCAGCAGCATTGGACACAGTGATCCATGGCATTCTCTTCTTCAGACAGAAGTCAATTCTTGGTCCCTCTTGAATCTTTCTTGTCTAAATGTTTCCTGTTGCTTTCACAAAGTCATTGGAGCTCAGAATCTGTTTTATTCTGTTGTGATGTCTCTCAGACACCTGTTTCAGATCCTCACTTGGGGTTGTGTTGACATGTTCCTGTTTAGTCCCCATTATATGGAAATATGCAAGCCACCTTTCCATTAATACACAGACAATATTCAGTTATACATCACCTCACACTCAGATGATCAAGGTACACTTCTGTCTTTGTCTTGTAGTTTGTGTAGCATTAAGCAATCATTGGTGCATGATTTTATTAAAGCCATCCATAATAAACCCAATGTTTTCCTGATAGTATCCAAGTCTTTGCAGAGAGTCACTTTTGTAATCTCATTTGATAATGCCATTATGACTCCATTTTAAAGTATTAAAAGTCTGGAGCATCAGATTTATCAATGGGCCTACATCTGCAGTTAATATTGCATTTTGCCATTTGAGGAATACCTGCAGGCTGTGACTGTTGCTCAGGGCAAATGAGCTACTGTTGTTAAATGCTCTTTGTCTATCTTGATTAGATTTGATATTTTTGTTTTCTGGGACTGCAGCCTATCCCCTGTCTCCACAGCATACATGACACAGATCGCACACATTATTCCAACTGTATAGTCCTGAGTCTGACTTCCTGTTAGGATATATATATATATATATATATATAATATTATCTCCTAGAACTGGAAGGGATCGCGAAAGGTCATGGAGTCTAGCCCGCTGCCTTCACTAGCAGGACCAAGTACTGATTTTGCCCCAGATCCCTAAGTGGCCCCCTCAAGGATTGAACTCTCAACCCTGGATTTAGCAGGCCAGTGCTCAAACCACTGAGCTATCCCTCCCCCCGAGGGTTTAATTTTCAAATACATTTAACATTTTTCTTTTCACAGCTCAGCTCCCTAGGGGAGCAGCTTCAGTCTAATTGGTCAGTATTCATTTGTTCTGTGTTCTGAGCATTAGCCTGCCTTCTCAATCAGCAGAATATTTAGACTGCTTTTGAGATGGATGATGAGAGCTATATCCCTTGCCTGGGGAGTATGTTTCCGGCTAACAATCCACAGTTCTTTTAAATATGGCAATTGATGAAGTAGATTTAAAGAATGCCATATTTGGTGCCATACATCATTATTCTGCATCCCTGAAGCTGTACAATGCACAGCACTTGCTCAGAGAAGTTTTTGGGAGGCAGCTTTTTAAGATGAATTTTGTACCGAACTCCAGGTTCTGCTGACTCATCTTACAGCATTTCTCTCCTTGCCCATCTGTCTGCTTTGTATTGTTCTCTTTCTTTTTCTAACTCTCCTCCCTTTTTATCTGTGACTAGGTATCTGCATCTTTCCTATGAAGTATTTTCTACCCAATCATCGTGCAAGAGGCAAGTTAAAACAACCACATCAGAGTATAGATTTATTGGAATCAAGTGTCATATGAGAGAGATTTTTAAGAGGTTTTTAAGGTCAGGCTTGACAAAGCCCTGGCTGGGATGATTTAGTTGGGGATTGGTCCTGCTTTGAGCAGGGGGTTGGACTAGATGACCTCCTGAGGTCTCTTCCAACCCTGATATTCTATGAAAGATGCCCAGTGCAAACTTCAGGTTGTCATAATACGCAGCCTCTCTGAGAAATTTATAAGGGTGCTAGGAGGTAGAGGGACACAGAGGAAGCTAAGTCTAGAACGTGTATGAGATGAGTTCTCTAGACAATAAGTATGTTTCCCTTCGTTTCTTTCTGGGTTGAGGTGAGGGAGATGATGTGGGATACTGGAAGAAAGCCCCAAGACGGGACTGTAGCGCAGCATAGGCTTTATCCATCTACCTTGTTTTTCCTTGCCCCTACTCTGCTTGGACAAGAGAACAATCTGTCATGAGTTTTCCTACTAGTCATATCCTCACCCCTTTGTTGTAGGGAGCTTGTTGTCTGTTGGTAGTGCCAACTGGGGACTTTCTGAGAATCACCTAGTACGTTATACCACGTCCAGGGATTTTCAGAAGCTGGAGCTATTCATTGTTTGGGGGCTTCAGCCATGTGGTTTCTTTTCTTGTGTTGCTCTTTTCTTCCTCCTCATTTTTATTCTGTGTGCAACACACTCTGCTTTCCCTCCATAAAGCAAAGGAAACAGAGCTTTTGAATAGGAGAATTAATTCTGTTTGGAGTGTAGCAGTCTTCTAGATTTGCTGCTTCACAGAGCAGGAGCCTTTTGAACACAGTATTGTGAGCTTCTCTGCTGATTGCCTTTGCGCTTTAGCCTCCCCTTCCGTCACTGCTTTATTTGAAGACATTTCTCCAGTGAGGTACCTGCGCATAGTAAATGGATCTTTGATTAGTTTTGACGAAGCTCTTATCTCCCCACAAGAAATTGTAAATCATCGTGCAGTCGCGGAGTGTGTTGTAAGAGACTAGTAACTGTCTGATGCTAATAATCACACATAACATATCAACCTGTGCTGCTTCCCGAGAGTTTCAAAGTTGAGATCTTACTGGATATAGCTGAACTTCCCTTAACTCTGCAAAACTTCATTCCAATTTAAAATACAGCATCTCTCACCTGCGGGGTCATTTTTTGTTAAGCCATACAGTGAAGCCTGTTTGTTTAATAAAGGTAGTCTCCCAATCCCCTGTATTTAGGTGCTGACCCAAAGTATTGCCAGTATAATATATTG